GGTCCACCACTGATAGAGGGCAGACGGACTCATCTGGCATCTGAAGAAAATGTCATACTCACCTGAACGCTGCAGAGGAGCGGCAATCCAGGCACCGCCCTTTGATGAGCGAACCTTAAGTGAGCTGTAATAGTTTATAAGCCATATTCTTAGGTTATTCAGCAAAGTGAAGGAGAAGATTCTGACGTAATTGTCACGTGCACCGCATTTTATACTGTCTCTCGAGCGCGTCAGTATTTGCATGCGATTTGCATACTTTGCGACAATTGGCCAGTCATTTGGACTGGCATGAGCCAATAGGACTTCAGGAAAGGCTGGAAGGGAAGGAGTTCCCATAACGGAGAAATGTCTCCGTGATGTCTCGTGAAAGCTCGAGAGGGAACGAGGCTGTGAGGGATAGCAGTCCAGCAGCGTTCACTACGGTGTATTGTTGTATACTGGGATGTCGATCGTTTAGCCGTCAAAATAAAGAGAATCCATCATTTCACAGATTTCCACAGGACAAAGAACTTCAGAAAACGTGGATTGTTAAAGGGGTCATATGATGCTATTTTAAAGATCATTATTTTGTGTATTTGGTGTAACAGAATATAGTTGTGCTGCTCTGTTGTGTTGCTCTCAATGATTACTAATTGCATCTACTTCCGGAAGGCCAAATAAAGTGCTTTTGCTTTCGCACTGTGAAACACAGCTCTCTCGCTGGGACATAGGACCTAACTTTAAGGTAACAATATTGCATTTATTTAAAAAAGAAATGACTGTGGATAAGTTACTAGTCTGTTGGCTAATCGCTCATTTCTAATGTGAGCATGTTTATCTTCCTTTAAACGCTTACATAGAGCTAAAATATGATGTTTTACGACAACAACTAAGGTTAAATGTCTCCATTTTGTATAGATTACAAAGAACACAAGAGTGTGCTCGAAACATTTCTCTCCGGAATGTTTTTCAAGAACATTGACTGGAATCAGGAAGCTAAAGGAAGGTTCAGTTCCGTCAGTGTTTACCTGGACTCAACAGTCTTACAAAAGGAAAACCTTGCGATCGTAAGTGAAAAATATATATTTTTCAAATGATGTTATAGATTAAAATACTTAATTTGTGATAAGAGCTTGCAGCTAGATCGTAAGTGCCTTTCAGACATTTATTATGAAATAAAGTTAAACATGTTAAGTCATACAAAATACTGGGTAGAAACTTTATTTTTATGCAAAGCGATCAAAAGAGATAACATATATTTAATAGTTTGCTGTGTACTGTTTGAGGTCAACCCCTTTTAAAATATAAAAATTTTGTTCAGAACATTATTATTTCTGTTTCTGCTTTAGACAAGGAAGATGTAATTTAGAGGAAGAACATGGGGAAGATGAAAGGTGAGCAGAAATGGGGAAAATGAATGAATTTACTGTTTAAATAAGGATTTTAAATGAACATGTAAATACATAACGTTACTCTATAAGTTTTGTGTGTCATATAAGCGTGATATGTAAGTTGTATAGTTCAATCAATGACAGAACAGAGATTGGACAAAATAATGTGAACACCTGCAAAATAGGCAATATTTATTTATTAAGTTGTTTTGTGTTGTTTGTTCACAATCTTTATTAGTGTTTGATGGCCCTTATCATTAACTTTTTGTTTTTGCTCTCTATTCTTTTTCGCTGATGAAGTCATAATAATAATTACAGTCTTAATCATAAAATCAGTTGTTTTTTAAATGCACAACAACTGAGCTTAAGGTTACAGATGTTTTTGTTCAACAGGCACTGATGATTTGCTCTTTTTGGATATCTAACCTGTTACCCATTTCACACACAGCCAATACTAAACACTGCTGAAAACCACTTATGCTGTACTGATAGACAAACAAGAGAATATAAACAAAAATATGAATAAATGATAATCACAATGTTTTTCCCCCATTGTAACCTACACAAATGTTATTAACCCCTATAATAATGGGTGTTCACTTTATTTTGTCCAACCAACTGTATGTAATATTGTTACATGTCTGGGTCTTAATGTTCTCTTTTTTCTCTCCAGTTCTACGAAGGATGGACCAAGCAACGAAGAATGGTTAGTAGAAATCTATCATAGAAAATGAATGTGTATATAAATGCATCAAGTGAGAAATAAATATGAATATAGAATAGGTGTGTAAATTCAACTTATCTCACTTGCCCTCTCTCTCTCAATCTAGTCATGTCACAGAGATGCCAAACACCAATCATGACTACTGTGTGGAGCCCATGACTACTGAGGAGCAGCTTGTGGCTGCACGGGAGGAAGTTTCTCGTATGTCTGCGGAAAATGAAGCACTCAAAAGTCATCAGTTTGGCATTCAGAATTTTATGGGTAATCCAAAACTCATCCAGTTTTACACTGGGTTCCCTGATTATGACACTTTAAGAGCCGTTTTCTTGGCTCTACAGCCCACAGCACAGAGCATGGCCTCATGGGCTCAAGTGCAATGAATTAGTGCAACCAACCAACACACACTGAGGGCTGGATTCCAGGCACAACATCTCTCCTTGTTTAATCAGTTTTTCATGTTTCTTTGCCGGATTAGACTGGGCCTTCTTGAACAAGACCTTGCTCTGCGTTTCTATATTTTACAAAGTACAGTCAGTCGAATCTGTGTTACCTGGGCAAATTATTTGTACTTCATGCTGGGGAGTCTGCCTATATGGCCAAGTAGAGCTGCAGTTGACGAACTTATGCAAGAGTATTTTTCAAGCTCTCTACCCCAAAACCTGAGTCATCCTGGATTGTACTGAAGTCCGAGTCCAAACTGCCAGCTCCAAGGTAATGAACTCTGAGACTTACTCTCAGAGATCTACTTGACGAAATTCATGCCACAGTAGTAATCCCACCTTTTCTCGGCCCAATTGGACAATTCAGCCATGAGGAACTTGCACACACACACAACATTGCTCGTTTGAGGATTCACATTGAACGGGCCATTCGTCGAATCAAGGAATATCACATTTTCGATCGGGTGAATCCTCTGTCATTGGCTGGTTCTGTAAATCAGCTCTGGACTGTGTGTGGTATCCTCACAAATTTTCAAAAGTTTTGAGTGAATGTTTAAATGTCCCAGAAAGTGCACATGGATTCAAGTGAAATTTTATTTATTATGTTGATAGTTTCTATACTGGATTTACATGTATATTTAAGAAAAATGTTACACACACACACACACACACACATATATATATATATACTGTATATACATATATTATTTTTTACAATATAATGCTACAATTTTATAATATACCAAATTTGTACATACCATATTATTGTAATACATAAATTTTTATAATATAATTATATATATATTTATGCAATGCTGCATATATACATCAATATAATTTATATTTTTAATATATTTTATATTAGAAATCGAAAAAAATTATATATATATATATATTACACACATATATATATATATATATATATATATATAAACAAATTTTTATATTTAAAATATAAATATAATAGTAAAAATTGCATACCACATGTAACAAAAAATAGACATTTCAATATAAAAATGTTGTACCTTTTAATTAGTTTCTTGTTATATTAATATTTGTACTATTAATATTTTCAGACATGTCTGAAGTTTGAGAGAATTAAATTAAAAAACAATAAAAAACATTTCTGCATTTCATTGGAATCCAGTTTCATTTGTCATATTTACATTTTATAAAGATGGTAAATCAAAATCAATACAGATTTTTTTTTTTTACAGGAAAAAAGTTTTTCATGACACATGAATGACTATTTAACAGAGAATGCAATGTATTTAAAATTTTAAAGTAATAGTTTATCCAAATTTGAAATTTGGTCATAAATTGCTTACCATAAAGTTCCAAACCTGTATGAATTTCTTTCTCCTAGTGAACATAGAAGATACTTTGAGGAATGTAGGTAACTAAACGGTTAATAGGTGACTTCCATAGTGTTTTTTTTCCATACTATGGAAAGTCAGTGGCTACTGCCAACTGTTCGGTTACCCACATTCCTCAAAGTATCTAATGTGTTCAGCAGACAAAAATAAATGTATGCAGGTTCGGTACAACTCAGTAAGCAAGTGATGACCAAATTTCATTTTTGGATGAACTATCCCTTTAAGAATTCAATACACTGCAAAAGGTAATTTGAGGTTTTGTTTTTGTTTACACTCTCTTGTTGCACAGAACAGGTAAGAAACAGTTGAAAAAGAAAAAATCAAGCTTACATTTCAGCTCCTCCCATTCATCTTTGTTGAAATAGATACGTTCAAGGTGGTAATCATTTTTACATTTTACAAAAAAAATCACACCAGGTAAACCCACTAATCCCCATTTGTCTAATAATTTGATAGTAGTACTCGTGGATCTTTTTTAGAGTGTAGTTCCCTGCTGCATTTGTCAAATATGAGCAGTTTTTGAAGCTGTCTTTGTTTTTGTCTTTAGAAGACCGTGGACAGGATCTGCTGTAAGGTCAACTACTTTCCTGTCAGGTGAGGCTCCTGTTGAGGGGCATGATGATTAATTATTAAGCCACAGGGAATCAATTTGTTTCCAGTGAGTTTTTCATATTCTGCAGCAGCAACAGGCTCACGTTGTATGCCTCTTTTCATAGCTTTGGTCTGAATGGTTTGTTTTGCAGTCATGTCAGCAGCTAACTTTTCAAAGTCTTTAACTCTAGAACAGACTCGCTTAAAAGATGTTGATGTGATCCTCTCTGCGCGTAGCCGATGCCAAGTGATGCTGCTTTGGTCCCTGGTTCCACTTTCCAGGTGTAGTGAATCTTCTGGTGTAATTATCAGACCTCCACAGAAATCATGTTCTTTCTGGTTTAACACAATTGCGTAGGAGCATGGTTGTGGAGGAAGAGGCAATGTAGGGTGCTCTTCAAAGGACAGAGTCTGCTGGGGTAACTGGTAGGATAAAGCAGACCCTAAAGGTAAGTCGCCGAACTCTGTGGTGACAAGTTTTTTTTGTTGGTTACTGGCGGTTAATAATTTAAACATGTGGCTTCTGCTGCCTGAGGTTTTTAGGTATTCCCTCAGATTCTCTTCAAATTCACCACAGGGCAATGGGACAGGGACTGGGCAGTAAACATTTCGGAGAATTCCCTCACTTGTGCGGTTTACTCTATGGGTACTGAAAAGGAGGATGCATGAGGAGAACTGGCAGCTGTTTAGGTAGCTAGCTTGAAGCCAGTGGGGCTGTCGGTAAGAACAGGTCCAGTCTAGTTACAGTGCCCCAATCCTGCTTTACAAGTGCAGTGGGTGTCTCAGATATACGGGTTTTCTGAAGACAGCTCCACCTGCAACAAAACATTGTTATTAACAAAGCCATTATTAACTAACCCTAACCCACATTTCAATAAGATTATTGTACTCTGGGAAATGGTTAAGCTGTTTTGAAAAAGTCGTTTTTTAAAATCCCAAACAGCTATCAGCCTGTTTTATTCCCCGGTTCTTATATAAATAAATATATTTACAACATTATACATCAGAAAAACTACTTAAGACCATATTCATGTCACCCGTAACAAGTTGTATTGTATTATGACGCGGCTTACTAGAAACACCTGGTATTTAGTATGAACGAACGAACAAACAAACAAACAAGGTCCAAAAACAAACTAAGGACCAAACCTTGAACTTAACTTGAACCGTCCTGAACATGGAGGATGTAGAAATTTGCTTTCAACAACACAAAATACCTTTATGTTGTAAGGCGCCTCGTTCTTTCGCATCGAGCGAAAGGACCGGGCCCTAACACTACAGCTTGCTTCGTTTCTCTTCACTGTAAACCACAGGTATCATATGGACATCAAACACTACAGTTCACACTTTGAATTGGCTAAGAGGCTAATGTTAGCACATACAATCAGCATGTAACGTTAGATCGTTCGGCAACATTAGCTCTATCGCGATCTTCTATGCAGCATGCTAAGCTAGAGCTAACCTCACAAGAAAGTCGAAAAGGTATCTTTTTACCTTCAACATCGTGGATATAACCTTCGATCCAGTTGCTGTAACCCTTCAGGAGGATAGACCTGGGAATTTTTGATTTTTCGTCCGCCCATGACTCCACAACATTGAGAGTAAGAGGAGGAAGGCATGACAGGTTTGTAGTCCACACAGCCATGTCCTGTTGTTGTGATTTCCTGTTTACCCTCACAGCCTCGTTTTCGAATCAAAATGGCGGTGGGCTGAATAATGCGTATGTGCTTCCCTTGACCTAGTTGCCCATATTTGGTTTTCTTCCTGTTCCTGTTCTCGTCTGGTCTGATTGTCATATGTGATTCACCTGTGTGTCGTTAATTACCTCATTTGTGTTATGTATTTAAAGTATAGTCTGCCCCATGTTTCCTTGTCAGATCTTAAACGTCAATGTGCTTACGTGTGTCTCCTGGCAACCATGTGTTTCCACCTGTGGATAATTAAAGACTGTTCTGTGTGAAATCCCTCATTTCCTCGCTCCTCACAGTAGGCAACCCTGACAGAAGATTCGAATTAACAAATAGTTTATTGCGTATTTCCCCAACGACGCGCTCTGTGCATTCTACGACACCAGTTTGAACACCGGGGCAAGAGTGCTGTCGTCCGAAGATCGCCCTCGAGAGGACTTTGCCGTCTTTGTGGAGTGGATACTGGTGAGAAACGGATCTCCACTCCCGACCCAGAGCCCAGCCCACCATCTCCCCGTTGCGCGGAGCAGCAGCCGAGCCCACCGTTGACGGTGAGCCAGTTCCCGCCGCGATCGATGAGCCAGAGCGACTGAGCAGAGGATCGCCCTGGTTGCCGAGTCTAACCCAGCTCTGCCCACTGCACCACTGCTGAGGGTGAGCTAATTGTGCATCTGGGACTGCTGGACGTAAAGGGGGACCTGATAGACTGGGATACTGATCTGGCCCCTTTCATCCCTCCAGCTGCGGAGCCCTCTTTCACTCCCGTTCCTGAGTTCAATTCAATTGAAGTTTATTTGTATAGCGCTTTTCACGATACAAATCGTTGCAAAGCAACTTTACAGCAAATTAAGTTTCTACAATAATTAGTGGTAGCTTATTAGTGGTGATCAAATCAATTAAAGACGTAATCAAACAGATGATGAACACTATTAACAGCAATTATTATATGATGCAATCAAACTTATAGCAAAATTTTGTAGTTATGTATGTTTCATGGTTGGCATCATCTGTGGTCCTCTGAGGGGTTGGCATCATCTCTTCTCAGGTGTTCTGGATCCAGACTGAAGCTTGTGTAAATCCTAGTTACCACGGGATGTCAATCCCGTGGCAGAAACAGAAACAAATGGAGAAATAATTAGCGTAGCTGCTGTTCCAACCAAGCAAAATGGATTTGTTTAGCAGCTTGAATGGTTTTGGGACGTGACCTAAAGACAATGACGAGACAGTAATATTGAGAAGAGGTTCTTCTGCTACAGGTAACAATTCTTTTAGTAATTTAGTGGGTACAGGATCTAATAGGCATGTTGTTGGTTTAGATGCAGTGATAAGTTTATTTAGCTCTTCCTGTCCTATAGTTGTAAAGCACTGCAGTTTATCTTTTGGTGCGATGAATGAAGTTGAAGTATTATACGCTGTAGAATCTATATTTGTTATTGTATTTCTGATGTTATCTATTTTATCAGTGAATAAATTCATAAAGTCATTACTATTAAACTGTGAGGGAATATTTAGATCGGGTGGTGTCTGGTTATTTGTT